GAAAATCAGGATTATCACCCAAAAATGCAGCGTCGCACCAGCTGCGATTACAGAAGATCCGTAGCTCCGATTAATGTGAAACTTGAACAGATTGAAGCCCAAAGTGTTGGGAACAACCTCTGAAAATTTCAGCTCAATCCAACGGTCGGATCTCCGGCGATGATCGAATTTGTGCGGCTGGTCTGTAAATTCTGCACCAGCACCTTTCCTCTCTCTATTCTGTTTTTTTTTCTCTGTGTGCTCTCTCTGCTCTGTTCGTAAGCACTGCCACTGCCCAGCCCTTCTACTCTCTTTTTTTAGTCAACAAAGTAAAAACATAATTGGACTCTCCGCCAAAGAAAAATGGAACCCAAATAAAATGGGCTGGACCCACAACACTTACATGGATATTCTATAGCTCTTCCCTCTCTATCCATGTCCAATTCACATTAGATGTGCTTTCACTATCTTGTCAAGAATAGATATCTCTCCAATTTTTGATCCTTCATTTCTTATTCTTTCGCTCATATATCTTTCATCCATTAAGTTCTTTCTTAGTTTTTTTGTTGGATTGTCTAAAATTTATTGCTTGTTTCTAATTATGGTAAAAAAAACGTTTAATAAATGTACTAGTATATCTTTAATTCTTTTTTCGTATACACTATCCACTTTGTTACATCATATATTAATAAGAAATATGGAAAGTATATATTTTCTAACTTTTGTTTATATGCATGTCAATTCAAAACAGGAAAAAAATTGTTGAATAGAGAGAGTACTAAGTACTATTCTTTCATTCATGTTTACATTTTGTTATCCAACAAACATTTTTTTATTCTCCCGAGTTAAACCGTCAATTAAAAATCAACAAAGAGATTTTTTAATGAACCGTAAACTCTCTTAAAATTCATCCCAAGTGGGGTTACAAAAAACCACACTATTCAACATCCATTGAAATTTTTTTCCGAGGATAAAATGTAAATTATTACGGAGTAATAACCAAGAGTCAGTACAAAATACATAATACAAAGCATTGGGGCATACCCCTATAAATCAAAGGCAAGTTATGCCAAACAATAAGGAAGGAAACAATGCACAAAGTAAAGAACTAGTGTTTTAAATTTGTAGGCGTTGTCTCAATGCAGGGCCGGTCCCAAAAAAATGATAAAGTAAAATTAGGCCGGTCCAAAATTTACATTTTGGGCTCTATTTTATTTTATTAGAATAATTATTCTTTAAAATTAATATTGAATTTAAAAATATGAGATCCTAAAATTTTAAGGACCCCGTGTGTTGGCCACTTCGCATACCTTCTGGGCCACCCATGTATCATAATTCTTTTGTCATCGCAAAAGCCCATATTACCATCATAAGCAATCTTTAGACAACTTGAATTGCAATCAATTGTCTATGCAAAAGCCCACATCCATTGAAAATTTGAGACCACATGGAGAGGCCGGGTTTCAAATCGCCTCAGACACCTTGTAGCCATATATATATATGTTGTCCCAACATTTGAGCATTGTCGTTTCATTCTCAAGTGGACGACGTGGGCATATAAGGTCAAATGTGTCCCATGAATATTATTATGGGTGTACGTATATTTCATACAGATAAACATAGACATTAACAATAAAAGAATATTAAAAAAAATGAAGTAGACAACTAAGTATTTGAGATACTTCGTAGGTAGTTTTGAACAATTCAATTCGTGGTACCACTGGTCATTATTGATTTTAAATTTTTATATTACGATCACATTCCGTTTGATATTCGGTCGGTTTTGGTTCGGGATGAAAGAAATAAAAAAATTCATTATCTCACTTAGATAGAATTCTATACTGTAATTTACCTAAATAGTAATAAAATATAGTAACTTTTCCAATATAGTAATATATGTTTTTGTATCCCAATTAGTACTACTGGCCATTATCCGCTGGTCATTGTTTAAGTAAATATCCACTGACACTGGATATTGTTCAAATTAAATATTCATCATCATTGGACATTGTTTCTACTACTAAACATTATTCAAATACTATTTAAGGAATAAAAAATTTTAAATAATACATTGAAAAATAACATATATTTTAATATAATTTAATGCAAATTTCACCTTTCCTGATTTGTTTTGTAAAGAGCTGAGATACTCTCATAGAGTCCCACTGGGATCCCATCAAAGGGAATATACGCTGCGAGCAAAGAATAATGCCTTTCTTATTTTTAGGGAGTAACCCAATATATGCGAATATTCTTTTTTTTTATTATTTTCCATTTCGAGGGCCTCCAAGTCTCTATATAATCATCAATTTTTCTTTTTTATTCCTGTAGAATATATATTTTTATCTAAGTCATCCTTACAAAATGACCAAAATGTCACCATCAGTCATACCCAGCATTAAAAAAAGTCACGGTCCAGTAGTAAAAGTGAAAAGCAAACGAGGGCATTTGTGGGATTTAAATCGTCCATATCTTCCAGTCCACTTTAAATGAAAGCTCCTGAGAAAAAAAAGAAACCTTCATTCCCCTTCGTCTTCCCAGAAGAAAAAAAAGCTGCAGAAAAAGTCTTCACTGTACATACAGGTTGAGGAAATTTACACTCAAAGGAATAGCAGAGGATAAAAAAGTCAATTTTCATCCATCTAACCAAACAAAGGTTTATTTCTTGATTGATTTGTGTTTAGAGTATAAAATATTTCTTGCCCTTTTTTTTTTGAATCACAAGTTCTTAATCACATGGTTTCAAAACCTGTTGACTTTGGTTTTCAGTAGCTTTTTATTTATTTATTTATCAAAACCTGTGAAATTACTTATAAAGGCTTAATGGAGAGTTTATGTTTTTGATGATCTCTTCAAATTCTTGGATTAAGGTATGCTTGAGTGGGATGGTTTGAAAATTGAAATGGTGGTGTGAATTTACACTTATATCCTCAGGTGATTTCAATTTGTATCTTTATCTCAGGATTATTATTGTTAGTGGATTCATCATATACAAGAGCCATTAATGGGGTCTCCAATAAACCATGGGACAAGCCACAAGAATCAACCATTGGGGATGAAGTTCATCAAGTGCCTAAAGAAGTCACCCCTCTCATACAAGACACACCAAGCCATTGTTTTGATTGTCACATTTTTCGCGTACGCCGCGTACCACGCGACACGAAAGACGACTAGCATTGTCAAAAGTGCCCTCGATCCTCGACCGTCCGATCTCGGGTTGGAGTCCATGTGGACGGTGGGGAATGGGTGGGTTCCGTTTGATGGCCCGAATGGGACCCAGTTGCTCGGGGAGCTCGACGTCGCATTCCTCTTTGTGTACGCTCTCGGTATGTATTTTTCGGGTCACGTGGGTGATAGGATGGACCTCAGGCTATTCTTGACGGTCGGGATGGTGGGAACCGGACTCTTCACCGGGCTTTTCGGAGTTGGTTATTGGGCGGATGTCCATAATTTCTATTACTACTTGGTAGTCCAAATGCTTGCCGGGCTGTTCCAATCCACAGGCTGGCCTTCGGTGGTTGCCGTGGTCGGGAATTGGTTCGGGGAGACGAAGAAGAGAGGTCTTATAATGGGGATTTGGAATGCCCACACGTCGATCGGGAACATAACCGGTTCCTTGATCGCATCCGGTTTGTTAAGGTTCGGTTGGGGATGGTCTCTGGTCATTCCCGGTTTGTCCATTGCCTTCACCGGCCTAGTCGTTTTCCTATTACTACCCGTGGACCCCGAGTCGGTCGGAGCTAATAGAGACAAAGAAGACAATTTTCCCTCCCTAGAAAAGGGAGGCAATGAGAAGGGAATACGAGAACTGCTCTTGAAACCGGACCGAGCCTCGGACGAATGTGCCGTGGGGTTCGTAGAGGCGTGGAGAATCCCGGGCGTCGCGCCTTTCGCTTTTTGCCTATTTTTTGCCAAATTGGTAGCCTACACATTCCTCTATTGGCTCCCATTCTACATTAGCCATACCGAAATTTCCGGGCGGTACTTGTCCAACGAGGAATCTGGAAACTTATCGACATTGTTCGACGTCGGAGGGGTGGTCGGCGGGGTTTTAGCCGGCTACATTTCCGATCGACTCAACGCAAGAGCCCTAACAGCCGCAAGCTTTGTCTATTGTTCCATCCCGGCCCTCTTCTTGTACCGATGCTACGGCCATGTCTCCATGTCGGTAAACATTGTCCTCGTGTTGGTCACGGGCATGTTCGTGAATGGGCCCTACGCGTTGATCACGACTGCAGTTTCCGCTGACCTCGGAACACACGGCTCATTGAAGGGAAACACGCGTGCGCTTGCGACGGTCACCGCCATTATCGATGGGACCGGCTCAGTTGGCGCGGCCTTCGGACCTTTGCTAACGGGGTACATTTCGGCTAAGAGTTGGAACGGCGTTTTCACAATGCTGATGTCAGCCGCTCTCGTCGCGGGTTTGTTGCTGACTAGGCTAGTCGTGTCTGAGGTTGCTGATAAATTTCGAAACCCCACGGGCGAAGACGAGCCGAGGTTACACTCGGCGGTCAGTGACGACGAGTAAGGCTTTGTTTGGTAGTGTCATGATTCTCATCTGCTGAAATCGATTTTACCAAAAAAAAAGAAAGAAGAAGAGCTGATTCTCTACCAGCTGAGACTGTAAATGTGAGATTTCATATCAACACATTATAACTTGTCCTGGAGGGAATGGTAAAATAAAAATCAGGCAAATTATATTCATTGCTGTTAATTTGTAACAAGAACTTGAATAGTTAAAACTTTTCTCACTAATTGCAGAGGTAATTTCTATGGATTGTAGATTAATTTGTAATTGTACATTTGTACTGTGTTCAATAATAGTGCATCATAAATTATAATCTTCATTGTTTACGTAGTAATTAAAACTGTATTATTTCAGATTGCTTCTTATATGGATTTGCGAAGAATTGATAGTGAATACTACTTCTAGTCTCTCACAGTATTTGTCTAGATTTAACTTTTTGCAATCAAAATTGATGAATTTTGACTACTCAATAAATAAAGTAAAATTAATATTAGATGTTGATACAAAACCAATATTATTAGATTTGTTTTATACAATATTTTCAAAATATTTTTTACATAATCAATATTCTTTACAAATTTTATTTATTCATATGTCAAAGGTCAAAAAAGATTGACTACAAAAAATCAAAGTTAGAGTTCGAGAAGTTAATTTTTTAGTGCAAGCCGTTTTTGCAAAATGGAAAGAGTTTATTCAAAAAATTTAACACATTATTACTGATCCTAGTTTTGAATGTTGGAATGCAATCCACTTTTTAGGGACAATAAATAGGGTCATGCTACACTTACACCACAAATTGTACCCCACAGTTATACACAAACATTTTGATGGTTTACATCGACACAAGTGTTGGTGCGTTAACAAAAATTTACACGGACACAAAGTGTTGGTGCATTAACAAAAATTAGATTTACACCAACATAAAGTCTTGGTGTAAAGCTATGGGATACAAAATGGGGTACAAAAACATGGGGTACAAATAAAAAATACTCTCTTCATTCCAAAACAACCATCTCACTTTGTACAACGTATAAAATCTCATACGGAGTATCTTTTAAAATAAACTTTTTTACAAATTCGTATATAAATAAAAAGAATACAAATTACATATATCAAACTACATCGAACGTTCAACCTAAGTACTCCGTATAAAACAAGATCTGATTAAAATATTTTATTTTACTCCGTATCAAATACTCTCTCCGTCCCCCTGTATTTGTCCACATTTGACTTTTGAAACTGTTCATCTAAGAACTTTGACTCATCAAATTCTCTCAATGTGTAAGCTTAAATATAGTCATGTGTGATCTTGTTTGATTTATCTTAACATATAGATTATTAATATATAATTTTTATAATTTTTTAATATTTAATATACAAATTACAAGATAAAATGGATTAAAGAAGTGCATTGGATGGTGTGTAAAAATAAAAGTGGACAATGAAACACACAAATAATCAAAAGTATCGAAGAATTAAGTAATTGTGACGATTATTTTGAAGAGAGTTTAGTTTTTTTTAATAAAAAAGTGTGCCTATGTGATGAAAGGAGATGGGTAGGGCCATAGCCCATAGGTATGGTTGTGGCCTTTTGGATAAAAAATGTGCAATCAACGGCCAGCGCCTTCCATTGTCCATTTCGATCAGAAAATAACACTTCTTTGGCTTTATTCCCCGACGAGGATGAGTCTACAATTTCCCACATCTTTGTTTCTGTACACAATCATATGATTTATGCTGCTATTTTTGGCACTTGACATTTGACAAGCAGACTATTTTAAAAGGGCCATTTGGCAAGTTTTAGAAGATGATATGATATCTTATGTGCTCTGAAACCTGCAATGAGAAATCGATGTCGGGGGTGGCTTACGGCGAGATGTGACCGGCAATGAGAGGTGGCCAACGAGGGTGGTGGTGGTGGTGACCGGCGATGGGGGTGAATAGATAGCGGGATTGTCAGTAGTTGAGGGGATATCAAAACTCTAAATTGATACTCTCCCAAAATATCAAAACACACCATGTAAGGATTGTGATATCAACAGATATCAAATTCGAATCATGTTTAGACTTTCCCACCACACTTGCAAAAGGCTCTGAGGTTCGTTGGGATTTTAGGGTTTTTTTTTTAGAGAAAAGTGCACCGTTTACCCCTAATTTTTTTTTGGAAATTGCATGATTTACCTTTGAACATTAAAAAGTGCACCAAATATCTCTGAACTCTTTGAAAATTGCACGATTTACCCCGAATATTTAAATAAAGACAATTATTTTGGGGCAGGGTACTTTAGAGAATTCACAATGTCCATATGAATCATACTTAAGAAAACGCACTCCCTATCTAGCATTTTAGGACCAATGGTGCAACGTTTTAAATTGTTCAGGGTATTTGATATACTTTTTAATATTCGAGGTAAATCATGCAATTTTCAAAAAAATTCGAGGGTAAACAATGTACTTTTTAAATGTTAAGGGATAAATCATGCAATTGCCAAAGAATTTAGGGGTACACGGTGCAATTTTTCATTTTTTAAATAGAAAATCTAAAACAAGATTATGAAACCAGAAGAAATGATTTTCTGTTTTATTGGCGTTATTCAAATCTAGAATCCATGTTTGCAAGACCGAGAAATAGATTATAACCTTTGAGATCACTTAACTTTTTCCGTACTTTTCAAGTCATTGTGCAATAAACCAATGTTTCTACTGCCGAAGCGATAACTAATCACTTGGCCGCGGGGCTCTCTGGAGAGGGAAAAGATTGGTTATGATACTCAAATGCACTTCATCGCCAGACGTAGGGATCGAACCCCAGACCACATGGTTAAGGGATGAAGCGGGCAGTCGAGCACCCTTTATGACATGAGACTATGAGAGACTCACATGCAAACTCGAGAAAAAATTAAAATTTAGTAGGTGACATGAAATGTCATGAACTCAAATGGGAAAAATTAAGAGTATAGAGCATATAAAGTGAGCATCATCAAAATTGGGTATCCTCTATTTGTTCAATATTGTTCGGCGTCTAATAAGACTGGGAATAGATTTTTGAGAGCTGCAAACCGGGCAGGTCTAATATGTCATGAACTCAAATGGAAAGAACTTGAAAAGTACTAATGTGGTGTTCAAATGTGAGATTACAAACATATATCAAAGCAGAGATGGAAGAACTGAAGAAGCAGAACAACAACAGGAGGAATAAGAAGAATATCACAAGAGAAGAAAATCATATTTCTGTGGTGTCTCTTGTTTGGTTTATAGGGTTATGCCCATACCCGCATATACTGAAGGCATTAGCGTGACATTTTCATATCAATGATCAACCAATACAATTCTTAATCTTACACCCAACATCCTCGGATTCCTCTCTACCATCCGGTAGGACCGTAGGAGTGAGGTCTCTACCCACCCAAAACCCTACTTTCATGGGATTCTACTCAGTTTGTTGTTGTTGTCTATGTTGCACGGTTCTTCAAGTAGGTGCCGCTTCCCATCCCCGAAACGTCATCGTTCAAGTACTTGCTCGGATTCCTCTCTACCATCCGGTAGGAGTGAGGTCTCTACCCACCCCAAACCCTACTTTCATGGGATTCTACTCTGTTTGTTGTTGTCTTAATTGTCTATGTTGCACGGTTCTTCAAGTAGGTGCTTCCCATCCCTGAAACGTCATCGTTCGAGTACTTGAGGGCGCCCCCACACCCTAATTCTTAATAAATTATGAAAAACATTGGTGTTTCACGCTTCCGACCCCGTCCCTGTATAAGTCCCTGTCCCCGTCTTGGTGCAACTTAGGTTGTTGTACTCCTAACATGGTATGTCTGTGAGGTTTTTTAGCATCTTCTTGACTGTCTCTTCCATTGTTTGGGTTGGGCATCTAATTGAAGTAGAATAGGACTGCAAGCATGCCCATTCCCACAATTATCGAATTTATGTTTCTTGTTCATTGTCAAACACAATGTGATGTTATTCTAACTGTCTAGATAAAATTCAACCTAGATTTGTCAAGCACAACGATCTAGATTCTATCTAGACGATTAACTCCACCTATCCGAATCCCTTCAAACGAACCAAATTCAACCTAGCTATAGTTTCATTCCTAACTGGAAAGTTGAAAGGGATAAACCCTATAGCCCCAAATTCAAGTCAAATCAGGGCAGCCAAAGCTTAACACTTCAACTCAGAATCAGGCATATAAATCATCAAACGTCAAGCTTAATCTCAAATATTGACAAACACACAAATTATAATCCAAATTATTTATGAAATCTGTTCACGTCGATTGCAATTTCTAAACAAAGCAGACAGTTAATAGATCGGTGACCTGAGATTGTGGAATCTAAATGCTAATCGCCGGGATTCGGGGGCTTCCGGTACTTCTCCTCGACGACTTTAGCCTTGAACAAAGCGGCCTCGATGGTTTTCCGGATGTTGGGGACATTGTAGTTCTGGGCGATGTATATTCCGCAAAGTGTCCCAGATATGAAGATGAAATTGTTCCTGATTATTCCCATGGCTCTCCGGCGGCTCTAACTTCAGTGAGATGAGGTGAACAGATGATTAATTCCGGTACCGGAAATATAGATCGCCTTGATGACCGAAGTCACCGAACGATTTCACCGTTTTGACGGGATACTCATTTTAGGACGTTGTTTGGTAAAGGTTTTCTTTGGGAGGAAGAACATTTCTTGTGAGCAAAGCCTATTTGGATAAAATTCAAACCAGGTAAATTGATTTTTAAAATGTTAAAGACTATCGTCAGATATTTTTAAAAAAAATGTTAATACTAAACTCGATTTGTTAGAAGAGCCAAAATTGTGGGATCAAATAGAAGAAAAATTATCCTATCGAAGTAAAAAAAAGTGTCATCTTAGATTGCAATGACACTGTGTAACATAAAGATTTGTCACTTAATTTTTTTTAGTTGTTCCATTATATATTTTAATTGGGATTAAATACACATTAACATTTTTATATTTCCTAAATCTAAAAAAAATTATCCCACCTTTTCACATACTCATGAGGGGTTTAAGTATCAATTCACATTGGTGCTCATATTGTTTTTTTTTACAATTTATCTTAATTTTCTATATAAGTTTTCACATATTAATGATTCATATTTAGTGTCATGTTTCATGGATTAATATCTATAGTTGTCTATTTTTAAACAAAATGTTAGTGATACACAAAAAGGTATACTCCAAGTGTACACAAAGTTCTTCTACAACACACTTCAAAAGTTGATAAAAAAAATTAATGTGTGGATAAAGATTGAATGATGAGAAATGATGGATGAATTAGCTTGTGTTCTACACAAATAATACTAGGATTACACCAAAGCTCTATTACAGTCTTACATTATCATTCTTTTCACCACATATTTTTTATTTATTGTTTAATATTTTTATTCGCACATAAAATTGTATGATAGAGAGAGCATGGTATACTCTTGAGCACACACCAAGGTGTACCTGTAGCATTTTTTGTCTCATATTACTTCAAAATCTAGTTTATAAACTTTGTAATCCAGTTAAAATGTAAAATCAAAATACTAGACAACATTTCATGTTAAATTAATTAGTAGACTTTGACTTTACAGACTTCAAAAAACATTAAAAAATAAAAAATAAATAGTTGAAACTTGAAATTTGTTTTGAAAAAGAAACAAATGGTGAATCATATATTCTCTACATTATAGAGAAAATAAAGAAGCGTGATACAAATATGGGTGGACATGGTACGGTTCCGGGACGGTTCCGGTTCCGGAACCGCCACCCCTTGGTACCGGTACCGTGACCGGACTGGCCGGTACCGGTTCCGGTACCCGGACCGGCCGTTTTCGGCCACCCTCAAATTATTATTTTTTATTTTTTTATTAAAATTTTAAAGTTAAAATTGTAAATGTGAAATTGTTAAAGGAAAGAATGAAATAAAAAATCTAGAAATGCAAAAGTTTTGAGAAATTGGCATACCGAAACCGGAAATGCAAGAGTTTTGAGAATTGTAGCCCATGGACAAGAAAAGTCAAAAAAAAATTAAATAGGTACCAGAACCGGTACCGAAATTTGGGTACCGAAACCGGTACCGAGAGAGGTGGTGCCAGTACCGGTTCCCGGAACCGGTGGAACGTCCCGGCTAGCGGTGACGGTAGCGGGTACCGGCGGTACCGTGTGTCCGTGTCTATCCCTAGATACAAATCATACAAGTAATTTTTGGGATTAAATATAAAAAGAGAATAAAATGGAGGGAAAAATGAAATATAAACTCAAAATCTGGTCCCAGGCCTAGCAAGCCAAAGTAAGATAGCCCAACCTAAATTCTGGTCCCCGGCCTACTACAATAAGATAGCCCAACCCAAATCTCAAACAAGCATGAATATTGATCGGGTCCCAATTTTAGATTTTGGACCCACATCATATGCACATTTTGTGTTTCCTTTTAAGAATAGAGATTATTTTACCTCCCCTTCCTAGAATAGGCTAGGCACTTTACTTTAAATGTTTACTTTAAATGTTAGAATGACAAACACAAGAATTTTACAATATATCTTAATTTATTATTTTATGTTTTTAAATTATTTGAAATTATTTTATTTTGTTTTCGATATATTATCTTAAGATTGTTTGTTTTGTAAGAGAGTCATGTTAGATTATACCAAATGGTGAACCTCATTTGTAACATTGATGTTTGTCACTTTATCATTTGCACTTCTATTCTAATTTTTTGTGTACCCTATTTAAACACTTATATTCTAATTAAAATACCTTCAAAATAACTTATACCCGCAATAAACTAAGAAATGGTAGTGGATTTTAGATATTTTAAATAGAGCAGAAGTGTTTTGAGGGATACACAAACATTTATCGCGATACTATTTTGTAAAATGTAGGGAATAATGGTGTAGATTCAGGGCACACTTTTTCTTGGTGTACACTGCATTTTTCTTGGTAATAATGTGGTCTAATATTACCCTTATCACTTTGAATGACATATGGAACACTAGGTTGCAATTAAACATCAAATGATGACAAAAACACGTACAAAAAACATATATAATGACACTTAAAATTATAGCAGAGTAATTAAAAGTCCGATCGACTTATTATTATTATAATTTATAAACACAACAATGCATGCAAATTAAAGACAAGCAAATCGATCAATATTTATGAGGTTTATTAATAATTCCTAACAGGTGAAGCCGATTGGGACCCGACGGCCACAGTTGTTGAGGACGAGGCTAAGGGAGAGCGGAAGGTTCAGGTTCAGGCCCAGCAGGTTGGCTCGTATGGCGGTGCACAGACACGCCGCCGCCTCCAGATCCGCCAGGCCGGAGATCAACGTGCAGCACGGCACCGTTGGGGGCGGCCTCCCTATCACCACCCCCACCATTCCCCCCAACAAGTTTGCACACACTCCCAGCTTCAAAGCATCTCTCGGGCAACGCCCCCCACCGCCACTCCCACCGCCTCCATTGATGCCACCGCCATTTCCATTGCCTCCATTGTTGCCTCCTCCTCCTCCTCCATTGTTGCCACCGCCTCCTGCGTTGCCTGGACCGCTTGGTGGGTTAGGAGACGGGGCGATGATGACGGGGTACGAGCGTGCAGGACACGTGTCGCAAGCACGTGGTTCGACGTGACCGATAATGAGCGCGAAGACGAGGAGACTGAGGGAAATGAAAAGGGGAGAGGAAGGAGTTTGGGGTTTTGGGTTTGATGCCATGTATGTCATGAGTATATAGCATGTGAAATTAGATGGATGGCTTGAGCGTTTGCTCTCATGATATATACGGAGTATATAGCTAGCTCTCTTAGCTAGGCTTCCTTCTATTAGTCATGTGAGTTCAATTTTTTAAGGCTCATCTCATTTAAATAAATTTGATGTGATCTATGTGAATGAACCTGATGTGATCTCAATATATTATATTAAATTCAAATTCAAATAATAATAATTATTTATTATTATTATTATATTAATAATTATTAATTATTGTTATTATTTTAATAATTATATTAATTATTACAATATAATTAATTATTATTGTTAAGTGTTGTGATTAATGATGATGATTATCATTATTAATTACTCCCTCCATCCAACATTAATGCTTCCAATGCGCGTTGCGATGTTTAACTGAAGTTATTTTTAAATTATTTTATATGTAAAATTGTATGTAATTAAAAAATAAAAATTACATATTTAAAAATCACATGAAAAGATCTATATAAAACTAAAGGTGACATAATCATATTATTTTATCAAATGAGCAATGAAAATATACTAACAAAGTGAATTAAGTTTGACAATGTAAATAGTAAACAAAAACATTATTGTTGGAGGGAGAGAATATAATTTGTTATTATAATCATACCAATAATAATAATTTATTATTAATTATTATTATTAATATTTTAATTATTATTATTAGTTTAATTATTATTATTAATCACTACTCATATTACTTTAAATATTTTTTTGGTTTTGCATTTTAATTTAATCATTTACAATTTTTTAAAATAGTTTATGAATGCCACCAAATGACTCATATATCCCTTATTCAAATTTATTTTTAAAATATATTTCAATAAGTTAAAGATTGCTTACAAAAAATAATAAGAAAAATATTCCTGGATGAGAGTGTAATATGACAGTGTTAGTCAACCGTTAGTGATCCGCGGTGGCACTCTGGCGGTCGGAGGCGATGAATAGTAGTGTGACAATAATAGTGTGATTGTTGCATTGTAACAATGTGGTGAATGAGTCAGTGTAAAAATAACAACGTAAACTCCTATTTTGGTTTTAAAAAATTTAGGACTTCTATTTTAGTATTTTCATAATTTTTATTTTCTATGGAGGGAGTTCTCCCTTATTAATACTCCTGTTAGACAATAATAATAATAGTACTTCTTGTAGTATTGGTTATGGTAGTGTTTCATTATTAGTCAGCTTCCTAATTCTATTTGTGGTAGATGTTGTATGTTAGTTAGTTTCTATTATCTATTCCTAGTTGTGTTAGGAGTCTCTCCTATATATACTCTATCATGTACTTCATAATTCAATGACCAATATTACTATTCCAATATTTCAACATGGTATCAGAGCCACCGCTTTTGGTGACCTAAAAAAAAAAGTTCTTTGCTCCCGCCGCCGCCGGTAATTCCGGCGATGGCGGCTCCACCCTAATCACCTCTATTTTCTTTTCCTTCTTTATCCTCAAATCAACTTCTCCACTCAAATGAAAAAAAAAACCCTTGTTGAAATCACACAAAAAAAATATCAAAGGAGGAACTTCTCTCTTGTCATCTCCATGGTTCTTAAAAAAAACCTAACTCCTCACAAACTCTTTCAGATCATCCTATCTTTTCAAAAAAAAAAGAAAAAAAAATTGTTGTTTCTTTCCAATTCACCATATCAAAATCTCTGACCCAAATTTTTTTTTCCCTCACCAATTCTTAACCTATTTTTCTCTGAAATCACTCATTGTAATCATCAACCTCCCTTCTCTTTCTCTTCTATTGAACCAATAAAAAAACCAAAGTAAATCAGCACAAAAGCAAAGCCAAAAGGGAAAGTAGTGAAAGAGGAAATAAGACCTCTACAACTCACCNAAGGAAATAGGGCATTGCCCGGATCCAAGAAAAAGACAAAAAATGTCAAGGATCTTCAGTCAAACATGCATCTCCAGTAGCCTTCTCTCTTCTTCTTCGACGTCAGCAGCTACAAGTGCACGTCAACCTTCTCTCTTCTTCACCGACGTCAGCAGCTAATAGCGCACGTCAATTTCTCTCTTCTCCAACGACGTCAGCAGCCACCAACGCGCGTCACACTTCTCTCTTCTCCAACGACGTGAGCAGCCACCGGCGCATGTCAGACTTCTCTCTTCTCAAAGTTTCCAGTTTCCATGCCAGCTAGTGTCCAAGCTTCCTCTTGCTTGAGCCAGAGTCCAGCTTGAGGGGGGATGTTAGACAATAATAATAATAATAGTACTTCTTGTAGTATTGGTTATGGTAGTGTTTCATTATTAGCCAGCTTCCTAATCCTATTTGTGGTAGATGTTGTATGTTAGTTAGTTTCTATTCTCTATTCCTAGTTGTGTTAGGAGTCTCTCCTATATATACTCTATCCTATATATACTCTATCATGTACTTCATAATTCAATGACCAATATTACTATTCCAATATTTCAACAACTCCCCTCATCCCAAAAGGTTTTATACTTTATGCAAAACGAAACGAATTTTAAAATTTTTTTAATTCATTTTATTTGAAGATCGATATGGAAATTGAAAACAAACTTACATACTATTAAAAACTAGATCAAAAGTTTTACAAAATAAGAAATGACATATATTTTATTTTATTAAGCAATCAATCAAAATTCAAAAACAAACAAAAAGATTCATAATTTTTAAATAATGAAGAGTATATTTTTTTTAGAATCAAGGGAGTATTAAGACGTTGTTGAAAGAAATTAGAAATAGGTGAAAAAAACTTAAAGAAATGGAAGAAAATGACATAAAGGGAAGAAATTAAAAATGAATTTTTCAAACAAAAAAACATGACCTAAGTTTTTTTCTTGGTTTTTGATAGTACATGACCTAAGTGATTTCTTTGCAAATAACTCATCTGATCCAACAACCTTTATCCCTCTTTTTTTAACCGTCACGTTCTTTAGTTTGGCGCTAAAATAAACTCCCACTCCGTATTTAAGAAACTGGTTTGATTTTAAGCACTCCGTATTCCTGAAGTCACCGGCAATGGCGAGAAGGTACACGACGCTGCGAAAGAAACTCAGGGAACTCGAAACGGCGGTGGTGGAGTTGTTCACCCTTCCGCCGGAGTCGCCGCACCGCCACCGCCTCTCGGACGGCGTGGAGGAGCGCCTCGGGGCGCTCAAGGCGCTTTTGTCGTCGGAGATGTCGTCCGTGCCAGATGCAAACCCGGACAACCTGCTCCAGATCGCCGAGATTCTCTCCGAATTGGACATGGCGTTCAGGTGCGCGGCGGCGGTCGGCAGCGGCGGATCGGACCGCGGTCGGAGTCCGAGCGGCGACGGCGATGCGGGATCGGTCGATATGTCGGATCTCGGCTTCAAGGTTTACGACGTTCCGGAGGAGTTGACGGAGGATCGTGAAGGAGAAGAGGAAGGAGATCGGCGCGCGTGGAGGACGGATGACGGCGTCAACGAAGAGCCGTCATCGGCGGTGAGGGCAAATGTGGGAAGTGATTATTATAGAGCGTGGGGTGTTGGAGCGGTGCTGGGAGCCTTTTCCATGGTTGTTCTTATGTCGAGATTTTCTATTTGTTCTCACGATGTTAATTATTTAGGTCCGTTTACTCCTACTTAAAATCATGTGTATTGTTATATATGTAGGCTTGAGTAGAGGGTTCTTAACATTTTTTTAATTGTTTCAAAGACCAAAGAAGATGTTCTTTGTGTCACATTAATTTGGATTTGAATGATAATTATTATGGGGGAGGAGAATATGTTATGCTAAATTTTTGTATCTCCACATTTAAATTTATGCATATACATTTATGGAGTATTTTATAAAATTTTCATATTTCATGTTTTGGAATAAAAAATATATATAAACCGAGTCCGTATAACACTTGTGTTGGATTATGTGAGCACTAAATCCTTTTGCTTAATTAAAGGACCCATCTTACCCGAGTTTCAAAGGAAAAATTTTGGACTCATTCTTTTAATTTGCTTGAATAATATGCTTCAATTCTGACTCGTAATTTCAAAACTCGTTTCCTGCCCCTCAAACATGGTCATAAGTATTTTTTTTAACTGCCCCTCAAACCGCCCCGCTCCCTCTCCTTGATAAAAATGTTACTCTTTAATCCCACTGTCCCAAAGAGTTCCTTCCTCTTTCTTTTTCTATTTGTTCCACAAAATCTTTTATAAATGGATGAGAATGCATTTACAAGAACTCTACCAGTCAGATTAAAAATGACCCGTTTGTCTACTTGAGGGAAGTGTTAGACTGTATCGCACATCAGAAAAGCGAGAAGAAAACAATTGACATATAAGCTCTTAAATTGAATTAAGTAAGCAGTTGGATTCAATTTTTTAATATGGTTCCACCCAAGCATCTTTTGGTCCCAGTATAGTGATTAGAAATAATCCTAAATAGGACTAAAACATAGAAAAAAATACCAAAATAGGACTTTCTTATTTTTTTTCCCGAAATAGGACTTGGCACTGTGGTAATGTGACTTTGCATTGTGGTAATGTGGCAGTGTACATGTGCAAATTACTATACTTTTTTGGTAATGTATATGACCATGTTTGGTAATGTAAGTCCTATTTCGGGAATAAAAACATGGAAGTCCTATTTTGGTATATTCTCAATGTTTTAGTCTTAGTTTGGTCTTTCTCTCTATAGTGATACCCTTACTAGGGGTGTAAACGAACCGAATCGAAGTGAATACCGATATATTTAAATTTGTATTTGTTTAATTTTTTCAAATACGGATCTGAATCCGAATATGAGACGAATTCAAAATAAGATTTGAATAAGTATTTGATTAATATTTGAATAGTTATCGAATCATAAACGAATATTTGAATAATAATACTATGTAATTTATATGATGTACCAACATCAATTTATAATTTAACTTACGATACTCTTTATACTATACTATATTCCGTATATAAAAATATTAATACATCTGCATCTTACACAAATTATATTTTATAAAATATAACTATTAAAAATCATATGCTTTAGATTCGTGTTACGTTAATTTATTGAATTCTTAGTATTTTAAATACACTTTATACTATATTACTTTGTTTGACTTTTGATGTTGAAATCATGGTCTGTGTATATATACATATATTCGAATATCATCCGAATGGAATATATCCCTATTTGTATTTGTATTTGTATTTGTATTTGTATTTGATTAATATTCGAATCAAAAATAATATTTGAATTTGAATTTGAATTTGTATTTGAATTTGAATTTGTAATTTATCGACCGGTATACCGTTTTTAGCCCGGCTAAAACGATAAACTAGTCTAAAAATACACCAAAATCTAAACACGGGGATTTTGACGTGGAAACCCAAATCGGGAGAAAACCACGAGCCTTTTTTGGCGGTACCTTGCCAACGGGGGATTTTTATTAATATTGGGGGTGTGTACATGGTACAAGAATCGGGCTCGGAAGCTATTAATGGAAGTTTAAAAGCATATTGAAGAACAGAAATTATAAAAATCTAGAGAGAGAGTATTGTGGGCAGGGAAGGAGTGTATTGAGAGAGGCCCCCTCAACAATTAGGGCAACCCTCCCTTTTATAGGAGAGGGTGAGAGCATCTACGGAGGAATATTCTCTTATTCCTCTATTTTATTAAACAGGCCCGGTTTAACCGTTCTTTGTAAATAATTGAGAAATGTGGGCCGAGCCACGTATTATTTCCCATCAATGTGTGATCTTGTTTGATTTGTCTTAACATATAGATTATTAATATATAATTTCTATAATTTTTTAATATACAAATTATAAGATAAAATGAACTAAAGAAATGTATTGGATGATGTGTAAAAATGAAAGTGAATAAATACTCTGGAATGGAGGCAGTATAAATTTTGGTCAAGAATTATCAATTGAGGAATGATTATTATGGGACGAGAAGCATTTGGGATTTCAAATTTGGTCCTCCTGCAGTCCTACCCATTTCAAAAACTCACAGGCACAAAAAGTGATAGCCAGTCACATTGACTGTTCACTGTCAGTTATCGCAATCGATTCAATTTGGGCATTTTAGGTGAGAAATAAACGGGTTGGGAGCGCACGTCCCACATTTCGAGCAAAGTGGCGAATTTCCAGGGCACACACTTTCTTTCCTTCTTTCTTTCTTTCTTTTTAAATCTCTTCGTTTCTCCGTGCTTCTTCTCTCCGGGAGACCACCGGCGACCGTTATGTAAAAGAAAGGAAAAATAATAATAAGCTCCGGGCAAGAACTTTAATCAATGGCTTTCACGAGTGCTCTCCGCCGGGCTCTCATTTTCAGTGCTTTGCTGTTCTTCACCGTCTGCTTCGCCGGTGACCGATTCGTCTACTTCGAGTTGGAGTGCTCCTACGTCACTCAGTCTCCACTCGGTGTTCCTCAGCAGGTAATAGTCTCGAGCTCAAAATAAGCTTATAATTTTCCGGGGTTTAGAGTAATTTCCAGTCTCCTTTGTTCTTACATATACGGAGTATTTTATAAACTTCCTCTCTTCTAAAAAAAAAATTCATCCCACAAAATCTCAAATTTTATCGACTTCCTTTGTCTATTTTTGTTGATAAAAGAATATAGTGATGTATATATATTTAATGTAGTTCTTGTAATAATCCAATATTGCTGATAAGATGGAAAGAATTTGGCAAATAAGCTATTTTTTTCTTTCTTTTTGCTGTGTTTTGCACTTTCTTGGAAGTATGGAGTATATTATGGAACCTTTTATTACCTTGTTTAATTAATAGTTATGGTAGTTGGGTATTATCTTTGTTTTTGTTATTCTTATTTCTTAAGATTCATTCTCAGATTCCATAGAATTTGAAAACAACTGCTTTAGTCTTCGATGAATATTTTGAGTTTTTTTTTCTCTTGGTAATTTATTTATCAACATATCCTGGGTTGTGTCTGTATAACAGGTGATTGCAGTTAATGAGAAATTTCCTGGTCCTGTTTTAAATGTTACAACTAATGACAATGTGGTGGTTAATGTGAGGAACAACCTGGATGAAGATCTTCTGGTTACTTGGTATGTTTTATTGAACAACGTGGTATTGGAAGATAGGAGCAACTTTTTGTGTCTGTTTGGATCTAAGGATTTGAAGGACTTATACTATATCTTGAAAATGTTCTGCAATTTCATAAAAAAAATCAAGTAGTAACGCAATAGGTGATCCTATAAAATCTCAATCACCTTTTAATTGAGACTGAGCTTTTTTAAGAATTAGGATATGTTTTCTTTGTTCCTTGTTAGTAAAGAACCAACCCAACCAGGAAAGGTTTAAATATATTCTAACAGTGGTGAGTGACTGATTTTACAGGTCGGGAGTTCATATGTGGCGTTCTTCTTGGCAAGATGGAATTCGGGGTACAAATTGCCCTATCCCGTCGCGATGGAACTGGACCTATCAGTTTCAGGTCAAGGACCAAATTGGGAGTTTATTCTATTTTCCATCCACATTAATGCAGAGAGCATCTGGTGGCTTTGGCTCATTTATTATCACTAATCGCCCTGTTATCAGTCTTCCTTTTGGTTTTCCTGATGGAGATATAGTCATATTCATTGGGGACTGGTACACTCGAAATCACAAGGTATAAGTTCTTGAGCCTGTTTGGAAAAACTCTTGCTGTAAATGCTTTTATGATGAAGTGTTTCTTCATCTAAGCACTTTTGTTCTATTATCTTTTCAATATTTCTTTTTTTTTGCAAAAGTACATTACTTCTAAGTATAATAATCTAATTCAATGCTGATTGTTAGTCTTTACGGGCTGACCTTGATGCTGGTAAAGAGCTGGGAATGCCTGATGGGGTCCTTATCAATGGCAAAGGACCATACAAATACAATTCTTCGCTTGTTCCAGATGGCATTGATTATGAAACGATAAATGTTGATCCAGGTCTTGTTCTTATAACTGTTCTCATTTTAGTATCTTGTTGCAATATTGTCGATAATAATGTCTTTAATGTTGAGCTTCTGCTTAATAATGGGGTAAATTTTGTCATTTTCATGGTGTTAATCACTGTTTTCAGTCAGAGCTATGTATGGCCAGTTGACCTTTTAAGAAAAAAAGAGCCTCATCCTTTGCAACTTGCAATCATTTCATGTGTAGTTTCTTAATGTGTTTGGATTTCAATGGTTAAAAGCCAATTTCTTGAAAGTTCTTTTTTTCTTCAAAAGTTACATATTCTTGAAAAGCTCTGTTTGACAAAAAATAAAAGCAATATGCAACAAAGTGCTTTGAAAAATCAAAAACACTTTTTTTAGAAATCTAAAATTACTTTGAGATTCCTAATCCGGAACAGAAACCATCTCTTTAACTTTAAAGGTAGGGGTACACCCACCCTACCCGGACCCCACTCACGAGACCATAATGTATAATTTTTTTATGTTGCATTGGTATGAAACATTTTGCAGGCAAAACTTATAGAGTTCGGGTGCACAACGTGGGAGTCTCAACATGTTTGAACTTTAGGATTCAAAACCATAACTTGCTCTTAGCAGAAACAGAAGGAACCTACGCCTCACAGCAGAACTTTAGTAGCATAGATATCCATGTAGGGCAGTCCTACACTTTTCTGGTCACAATGGATCAGAACGCAAGCAGCGATTACTATGTCGTCGCAAGTCCAAGATTTGTGAACCAATCAACTTGGCAGAATGTCACCGGTGTCGCCATCTTGCACTATTCCAACTCCATGGGAAAAACATTTGGAACTCTTCCGGATCCTCCCAATGACGTCTACGACACATCCTATGCCTTAAATCAGGCCATGTCCATCAGGTTCGTCTCAATCCTCATCCATTTCATCATCTAGCGATCCACACTGACTTTCATGATATTACCCATTGTACCCTTTTAGGCAAAATGTATCTGCAAGTGGAGCCCGCCCGAACCCACAAGGATCATTCCATTACGGCTCTGTTAATGTCACGGATGTTTACATCCTAAAGAGTTTCCCACCATTGATGATTGATGGGAAGCTCCGATCCTCGTACAACATGATATCCTTTGTCAATCCCAAGACTCCAATCAAGCTTGCTGACGAATATAATGTTCCGGGCGACTACAAACCTGACTTCCCAACCAAGCCAATGACCAGACCACCTAAGATGGACACATCAATCATCGACGGCACTTACAAGGGATTTATTGAAATTGTACTGCAGAACAATGACAGTGTTGTTCAGAGCTTTCACATGAGCGGTTATTCTTTCTTTGTGGTCGGGTATTGCTTGTTTACTTTAGGAACACATGGTTTACAACATTTCTGTCTCCTCTAAACAAATTTGTAATGACATTAATTATGAGTATATTTGCATGAATACATAATTATTTTGAATGCTGTGCAGAATGGGTTATGGAGAATGGACTGAGAACAACAGGGGATCATATAATAGATGGGATGCGATATCCCGTTCAACTACACAGGTTTTATACTATTTATTTACCAATTGTTAGAACATATTGTATAGGTCTCTTGGTCATATTCTTTATCTTAGTTTTCTTTCCATTTTTAACCTCACCTTATCATTTTTATATTTAGGTTTTTGCAGGAGGGTGGACATCTGTGTTGGTATCTCTTGACAATGTTGGGGTGTGGAACCTTAGAACAGAAAACCTTGACAGATGGTACTTAGGCCAAGAAACCTACCTCAGAATCACCAATCCGGAAGATACCGGAAACAAAACCGAACTCCCCGCTCCAGAGAATGTTCTTTACTGTGGCGCCCTTGCTTCGATGCAGAAGTATATATTATATTCAACCCTTTTTGTTTTCTTAATTGAACTCTTTCATGGTAACTAATTAGTTAGTTACTATTAAATCTTACATTCGTCTCTGCATTTCAGGCATCAAAAAACATCTTCTGCAGCAACCCTTCATGGAAGTTTGAGGTTGGTTCTATCGACTCTGTTTCTATCTGTAGCTGTCATCATCTGCTTCCATTTTCACTGAGGTTTAAGTGCTTTAGAGCAGTGGGTAGGGGTACTTTTGGAATGGAGATTGTTTGGGCGTTTTTGGTGTTCTGCTGATTTTCTTTAACCATTTTTTTTACCTATAAAAAAAGAGGTAAAAAAAATGTGCTCAAGAAGTTTGTGTACTCATGATGACTTGTATGACCAAAATTTGTAACAACGGATTTGATTATTCTAATCTATTTATTCTTGGATTATAAGAAGTTATAAGAAGCTAATGTATGACTATTTTGTATAAGTAAAAAAGAAAAGAAAAAGAATCGCCACCGGCCATGATTGATTAGATTAGAGACCGGATTTGTAAGGCACGCCGGAGGACGGCAACCATGAGTTGCCGTCAATAAACACGCCGACGGTGAACGGCATAGCTTCCGCCGGTGTCATGAGCTGGTGGACCCCACCCCACTTCACTCTCCTTGCCGTCCCCGAACCGGGCCCTGTGTTCCCATACTCTGCATAGTAGACAGTGCTCTGGAAAGACGGCTCCTTGCCGTCCCACCACGTCCACCCGGACGGATCTATGAAGGAATCGATCACCGTCTCCATGAAAACGGCGCGTGAGTACACCCCCCACGGCCTCCCCAAGTATCCGACCGTCCCCCTTAGGTTCGACGCCGGATCCGGCATCACCCGCGAGCTATGTATCACGATCCCGGTCTCTTCCGTGGGCCCTTCGCGCTTTGATGCAGTGATCACAACAGCCCCATCGTTGCCGGGCTTCCTCGCGTAGATATTGCAGTCTTGGAAGACAGCTTTAGCGTTTCCAAAGATGAAATCGACTGTGCCGTAGATGTCGCAGTTTTTGTAGAACTGTCGCCCTTCGTAGACGTAGAGAGTGTCTTGGTAGCCTTCAATGGAGCACTCGTAGAACACTGCTCGATCCCCACTTACCCGAAGAGCCACCGCTTGTCCATTGCCTGGACCAGCGGTGTTCCGAAATGTTATGCCACTGGCTATAAACCCATTAGCATCAACACCTGCATGTAGCATGGACACATTTTTAAAAGCTTGGATTATAATACTCCCTCCGTCTTTAAATCTTCGTGTTTGGATTTGTATGAAAGGAGAATTTACGTAAATAACACTAAAACATAATGATTTTTCCCTAAATAACATCACGTGTGTTTTTTCTCAATGTAGCACTTTTAGTTATTATCCATTAATCATTATTCAAGTAAATGTTCGCCATCACTGGACATTATAGACATTATTAAGTGTTATTTAGAGAATAAAACAGTTCAAGTGCTATTTAGGGAAATGACTTAAGTTTCAGTGTTATTTAGTGTAAATATTTCTACATTTAATTTCAATAGATTCATTGTGAATTATGATTCTTTCAAACTTGAGAGATATTTAGCTGATTTTATATAACCACATTTCCTCCCTTTCCCACTTGAGCACTTACCAAAGGTTGCGGTGTCGAATGTCGACCCGCCAACGCCATTAACGCTCCGTTGGCCGGTGATTATAGTCACGCCCTTTCCATCTCCGAGCAGAGTGAGGCGTGGGAGGTGGTTGTCGACAAAGACACTCTCATTGTAAACTCCGGCCGTTATTTTAATAACAAACCTCCGGCGCCAAACCCTCTTTTGGATCGCAATGGCGATGGCCTCCGTTATGGTCCGGATGTTTCCGGGCCCGCTCCCAACCACAAGGTTCGCCGGTGGCGGCATATAGTCTGCCGCCACTTGGGGCGGCGGAATAGTAAATAAGGATATGGCGAGGAACAAGAAAACCCCAAGCTTATGCATGCTGCAGAGCTTGGCACGTAAATAGTTGAATTTGGCATGCATTTTGTTTTTTTTACTGGCCTGGGGTATTTTACTTTTTATTTTTTACTGGCTGTGGGGTTTGTTATTTATGCATGTTTAACTTAATTGAGTAAGAACTCGTATATATAGTAAATAAACGCATAATGTTAATAAAGATAAAGTACCCATCTCATCTCTCTAATTTAAGTTTAGGCATTAAGTTACCTTTATTTTGTTTGAAACTGTTTGCTTTCGTTTAACTTATACTCACGTCAAAGTGTTATAATGGTGAAATTAATTTAAGATTTGCCCACTATATATATCAAAGTGTGTTCTCTTTTGTAAAAAATATGTAAATATATGTAAATAAGTACAAAGTAAAAATAAACTTTAATATCAATTCGCAATGACACAATTTTTTCAAAGAAAAACTAATAATGAATTTATCGGGTGTAAGATAGGGAGTATTAAAAAAAGGGGTAATTAAAGTTGTTTTATGAAAACCTTGAGAGGGAGTGGCAACGGTTTTAGCATAAATTAAATGTTTGAAGTTTATGTATCATCAAACAAATAAATTAAGAAAATAAAAAATGAACAATATAACATCACATATATTCTATTAATACAAAAATATACAAACAATTAAAATTATATTTAGGATTTAAATAATAGTATAATTTAAAATTTAAAGTGAAAAATTAAAAAAATACCTTAGAATAGTCATCGCCGGCGGTGAATGTGGACGACGAGGATTCAAGTGCAGTGGAGATGTTGGGTCGGTCGTGGAGGACGACGGGTAGGTTGTGTGGAGGACGCCGGGCCGGTTGTCGTGGATGATGACGACTTGGACGACGAGGCCGATGTCAGGTAGGTGGACTGGATGACGACAACGGAGACGGCGATCGATTTAGTGAAAAACAAAAAAATACAATTCAAATGCATGCTTAATACTCCCTCCGTTCTCAAAAACACTTCATCTTTCATTTTTTCCACTTCCAATAGAACACTTTTCCTTTCTATTAAAAAACCACTTTTACCCTTACTTTTTCATACCCATCACATCTTACTTTTACCCATCACATCAGGGGCAAAATTGGAAATTAACTACTATAATTTAACACTTCCTTATTTTTGCCCCCAAATCAAAGTAGGAAGGGTTTTTCAAACGGAGGGAGTATCTTTTAATCATTTATTAGTAATAACCAATTCAATAGCTCGTGGTCCTTTAGGTGTTGGCGCTAAAAAAATCAAGGGAATGAGAGTTTATTTGCAAGTGGTCAACCGGTTAGATTCAAAATGGTCCGGTTGTCCACTTGAAGGGGAGTGTTAGAGTACATCCCACATCGGAAGTCCAAAAGTAAAATAATCCAGTATATAAGCTCTTGAGTTAAAATAACTAATCGATTGGATTCAATCTTTTAATGTGGTTCAGCCCAAGTGTTTTATTACCCAATCCAGATATTCTTACCTCATCCTAAATTAGTAAATTCTATCATAATACAAGCACAACTAATGAAAAATAAAATAAAACCCTAAATTGGTAAAGAAAAATCATACTCCGTATAAAGCATGAAGAAAATATGAAATGCATTAACATCGAGTACGTTGTCTTAAAAGTTTACTTCATAGTGTCCTATACATTTCAATGATATGTGAGTTTACTACAGAAAAATGTCCTAACTATTGCCCAAAAACCACTCAAGAAATGCTAAAATAAATAAAATGACCAACAAACTGGAGTAATTAGGGTGTGCTGTGAGGATATTAACTACAATTACAAGGACATTATCTTGTGGTGTGAGGACTATGAACGAAAAAGACAATGAAATTAGTTTGTAGGTGATGACAATATAAAAATCTAAGCCACAATAATACTCTCACCGTCTGGAAATAAAATTTTTGCTTATTCCTTTTTTCTCATCTGAAATTAATCTTTTCATTTTTAATTTTAACACCTAGAGCATGTTCTTTAGGAATAAAAAAAGTTGGATGTTGGAATAAATTGAAAGGAACTAGAAGAAATTGAAAAAACTAAAAAAAATTGGAAAATCTAAAAAAAACCTTTAAAATTTTTTTTAGTGTATTTTATATTATTCTTATTCTAATTTTTGTTGTTATAAATTATTATTATTATTATTATTATTATCACGTTATCTTAATGAATGCCTTTAAGATAAAAAAGTATTCTGATTTTTCATACAAAAAACTACTTTTGTAAAAAAAATTAATTAAAATATAAAGTTAGCATAAATATCAAAATGTTAAATTTTGAAATATTATTGTGGTTGCGTTGCACCTCAATTTATGTAGTATTTATTATAAAATAATATATTTGTAATACATGTCATATAATATATTCAAACATATTTTTTCTTTCATGATTGACATTTATTTTCATTGTAACTTACGGAGTATATTTTTGGAATAAATACATACAATTCTTATTTTTGTACATTATTTTAATGTTTTACTCTTGCTTTAATCTTTTTCTCTAAACTATTTTGATTTTCAAATTTTTTTATATTGAATTTAGAATAATGAAAAACAAAATTAATCTTTGAAATAAATAAAATTGAGAAAAAATTGAGTAATAAAGGGAAAGGTGATAGGTTGATACGGTATCGTATCGGGATAGAGAAGATTGAGCACCTTCAAGGTATAGATTTGAGGGAAAAGAAGAGATTGAGAAAGGAGAGAGGAAGGCGGTCGTTGATCGGCGAGGAAGAGAGGAGGAGTTTAGGGTTAGGGAAATATTTCTGTATTCATTCCATAATAAACTCATGAGCAATGGCCTTCAAAAAAAAAACTCATGAGCAATGACTACATATATAGATGGTTGATCTAAAGAGCCCTAGCTATAAAAGGTAACTAAATAACTTAAAATACTAATAACCTAATACTCCCTCCGTCCCGGAAAACATGGGAGTTTTGGTTTTGGGGAGAGATTTAAGGGGAGTGTATTTTGGTATTGAATTTCCAAAAATGTCCTTTGATGTGATGGGTAAAAGTATGATTTGATGGATAGATTATTAGTAAAAAGGTATGATGTGATAGGTAGAGTATGAAAAAGTAAGGGGTAAAAGTGACTTTTTAATATAAATGAGAAGTGTTTTTTGGGACGGATGAAAAAAGAAAGGAGAAAAGTTTTCTGGGACGGAGGGGGTATAATAATACTTCCTAATAATAATGAAATGAACTAACCATAAATAATAAAACTACCTATAATAATACTAATAAGACTAAGAATAATAGTAATTTAATAATAATAATAATAATGGTAAATAACTAAATATAGTCCCGTATCACTCTCCCCGCCTCGAAAACCAACTTGTCCTCAAGTTGGAAACCCAATAAGGAACGGGGGAAAAGTGTGCTATTCATCGTCCATCCTCTAGGGTCAAACACCTTATGCATTGGAGCATCAAAAGAACCTAACACGCCCAAAGTATTCACAATACCAAGCAAACAACTCCAAACAACCAATAGTAGGAATATTATCCCATCACGTGTAACATCTCCAGAATGATAAAGGAGAACAACTTCACTGTGTGACATCCTAGATTTTTCTGTGCATCCAAAAAAATTTGCATTGGTGCTGGAAACTTTAGTCATGATAGAATGATCATGTTGGTGTTCGTTTGCGTCAGCATTGTCTCTAGGAACAACATCAGTAACAATAACAAGAACTTCATTGAGAACACTAACACGATCAACAACAATTTCCTCCTTCACTACGAACGACTCATTTGCTTGAGTTGGTTCTTGCACAAATCTTTCTTTTGCCCGTTCAATCATTGGCATCCAGGCATTGTGGCGAAAGCCCGTAACCTTATGAAACGATGATGCAAATCCTGGGTCGGGTTCGTTGGTGTTAATGCATGGCGGATCAAGGTGGTGTTGTGGTAGCTGATCTGGTATTGCACAGCGGTGCGTTGTGCATGATGGAGGTGGATACCAACGTGCGTCAGCCATATGTAGGTTGTAGCCAATTCATCAAGCATTTCGTTGGTGTCGTCGTGTGTCCAAGGAGATAGGCCCCTCTGTCGATTTTCCTGTGTGGGTGCATGACTACATAAACCTAATCATGTTGGGCTCCTGCATGCTGTTTTTTTTGTAAGCCTAATTGGACTCCAAATGTGAGTTGTGGCTGCAAGTTGCCACAAACTCCCCTATTTTGGATCTGCTCTTCAATTGCCACGCAAAGAATTTGTATGTTGGATTCCTTTTTTGTTTTGCCGAAACCACTCCTTGAATTGAAGTTTACCTTTCAATGTGAAAATAACAAATAAGGTAAAGAAATAAACACAATTTGAAGAGGCGGTGATTGCATGTACCCTTGGCGGCGATGGTAAATCTAGCTATTCTTTTGGTTAACATTTTTTTTTTTGGTTTTTTTTCCGTGGTGAGTTCAACAATGAGAGCACCAATTGATACGAATATCGTATCGGAGCTTAATCTCTCTCTTTCTTGCCTCGTTTGTTCTTGGAGCTCGAAGGTGCTCGAAATCCTTCCCTATCTCGATACGAAACCGTTTCATAGGTCTTATATAAATTTAAATTAATAAATTATTCAATGTAACTAATTTATCCATAGTTTTTTAATATAGTTTTTTTTTCAATTTAGTAATTTTAGTCATTATCCATTAGTCAATATTTAAGTAAATGTTCGTCATTACTGGACATTATTAAGTGCTATTTACAGAATAAAACAGTTGAAATATTATTTTGAAAAATGACTTAAGTTCTTATGCTATTTAGTGCAAATATTTCTTTAGACAATTCATACCCATAGTCAACTTCCAATAAAAATGTGCAAAAGTTATTGAGTACTTTAATTATGATGTAGAAATTTTAATCTAAAATTGTCGTTTAAAATCAAAGTTCAATCTTTTTTTACACAATTTCATTACTTATTTATCAAAATAATATTTTTGTGTTACATTTATTTTTGTAGATTTTTTAATATAATTTTAATACACACACACACACATATATTAAATTTTACTATAATTTTCATTTAGATTGAATTTAAAATAATTTTGTACTTAAGAAAAAAGAAAACGGTCAGAATGAAACAGTCAACAAAACCGTACCACACTTGACTAGGAAGGTCATTCCCAAAATTTTAGGAGTAATAAATGAGAAATTAATGATTAATTATCTCTTAAAGAAGTAAACAAAACACTCTATATTAACAAAAATTGAAATTTGAACTGAATAGGACTAAAACAATGGTTATTTTCCAATGTAGAATTTAAACTTTTTTATTTTCTAAATAGGACTTAATAATGAATAGTGAGAAGAATAATGCCCAAATGATGCTGGACATTTAGTTGAATAATGACTAATAGATAATGACCAATGGTCCTATATTTGGAATTGAAAAATAAAAAACGTATATATACAAAAAAAATCATCCTTCTATTTTTGAAAAAATAATACTAGCTTCATTTCATATCATTCTCCTTGTTTGACTTTTTACGACTTCTAACGCAACACTTATATATGTAACAATTCAATATATGGAGTATTTTTTTTTTCATAATTTGAGATGGAAGTTAAAAGAAAGTTAACATCCAAAGTCAAAAGAGAGAAAGGTATAGGAAAAATTATCTCAAATAATCCCACCTTTTAGTGCTCTTTCAAAAATAATCCTACTTTTCACTCTCACGAGAAATAATCACACCTTCCCGCATGTGTGCGAGTTTTGGGTCGCAGTTAAAAAAATAACGGTCACTTAACGGAAATTTTGAATAATGCCCGTATTTCGCAAATAAATGAAAGGTGAGATTATTTTAGGTAAATTCTCCCTTTTTCGTTTTTTAATTTCTTTAAATGTATTTTTATTTTATTTTTTTGGAAAAAATGCCAAATTTAAGTGTTTTTAGAGTGAAACTAATTGTTTTTTAATAACCAATAATATGGTAATAATTAGAAAACAAATTATTCTACACAATAGAGCTAATTTATTAACTTCATAACTAACTACTCCGTACATTTTTTGTAAGTTGCATTTACTGTATTTTTCTTGAGCTGCACTTCAAATTATTTTTTGATACTACATTATTATTATTTCTTAAAAAAATGGCACTACAAAATGTCAAAACTTATGAATATTTTTCGATAGTTCTATATAAATATTTTTGTGAAACAACATTACAATAGTTGTGAAAATAACACAACAATTTTTTTCTCTAAAATAGAACTTTTATTTTTATAACTCACTACATTTTCTGATGTATTGTAATTTTTCCATGAACACTCTGAAATTTTTATTGATAATCTTATATTGCAATAAAATTTTCTTTCTAAAATGGAACTACCCAATTAGTTATTTTTTTAATAATTCAATACAAATTTTTCTCCAAAATAGTAATTCAAAAGTTTTGAAAATGATACAATATTTTTTTCTCCGAAACGGAACCCATAAATTTTATAAATCACTACAAAATTTGTTAATCGTTAGACAAATCTCTAACAAGAGTGTATTGTTATATTTTTAAAAATATTAATTTTAAATTCAAAACTAAAAAAGTAAAAAGTAAATTTTTCTAAAATAATCTCACCTTTCATTTATTTGCAAAAAACAGGCATTTTCAAAAACTTCCGTTAAGTGGCCGTTAGTTTCTTAACGGTGACCAAAACTCGCATACATGCGAGATGATTTTTCCAAAGATACAAGAGGGAGAGAGTATTTTGGAGTCTTAGAGCAATTTTTACAAGAAAAAAGACATTGCCTAGATCAGATTAGATTAGAGACCGGATCGGTAAGGCACACCGGCAAAGGGCAACCAAGAGTCGCCGTCAAGAAACACGCCGACGGTGAACGGCAAAACTTCCCCCGGCGTAGTGAGCTGGTGGAACCCATCCCACCTCACTCTCCCCGCCGTCCCCGAACCGGGCCCCTTGTTCCCATACTCCGCATAGTAGACGCGGCTCGTTAAAGATGGATGCCTGCCGTCCCACCACTCCCACCCTGCCGGATTTATGAAAGAATCGATCGTAGTCTCGATAAAAACGGTGCGTGACTGCGTCCCCCACGGCCTCCCCAAGTATGCCTCCGTCCCCCTTAGGTCCTCTGCGGGATCCGTCGTCACCCACGAGCTCTGTATCACGATCCCCGTGTCCTCCGTAGGCCCCTCGCGCTTCGACGCCGTGATCACAACGTCCTTGTAGAGGCCGGGGTTCCTCGCGTAGATGTTGCAGTCCTGGAACACGGCTTTGCCGTTTCCAAAGATGAAATCGATTGTGCCGTAGATGTCGCATTTTTTGTAGAACTGTCGCCCTTCGAAGAGGTAGAGCGTGTCTTGGTAGCCTTCGATGGAGCACTCGTGGAACGCAACTTGATCCGCCCTTACCCGAACGGCCACCGCTGGTCCTTTGTCTCGACCAGCCGTGTTCTGGAATGTTATGCCCCAAGCTACAAACCCAATGGCATCAACAGCTGCATGTAGCATGTGGATGTGTTATATTAAAGAAATATTTACACTAAATGGCACTTAAACTATTTTATTCTTTAAATAGCACTTAGTAATGTCCATAATGTTCAGTGATGGCGAATATTTACTTGAATAATGACTAATGCATAATGACTAAAAGTGCTACGTACGTTGGGAAGAAAAACACATGTGATGCTATTTAGGGAAAGTCAGTATGTTTTAGTGATATTTAAGTAAATTCCTCCATCTCTAAATCTCTTTCTTAGTTGGAAATATTTATAAGATTTAAGGAATAAATATTGAAATATTTGCACTAAATAGCACTAAAACTTAAGTCATTTCCCTAAATAACACATAAACTTTTTTATTCCCTAAATAAAACTTAATAATATCCAGAAGGAGGAATAATGTCCAATGATGGCGAATATTTACTTGAATAATGACTAATGGATAATGACTAAAAGTGCTATATTGGAAAAAAACATATATGATGCTACTTAGGGAAAGTCATGTTTTAGTGCTATTTAAGTAAATTCCTCTAGAAATATGTGCACTAAATAGTACTAAAACTTAAGTCATTTTTCTAAATAGCATTTAAACTGTTTTATTCCCTAAATAGTACTTTCTCCGTTTCTCAAAACAGTTCCTGTTTTGGTTTTGGGGGAAAATAAGGAAAGTGTAATTTTAGTTGACTTTCCAATTTTGCCTCTGACGTGATGGGTAAAAGTAAGATATGATAGTTTAGTTATTAGTGAAAAAGTATGATGTGATAGGTAGGGTATGAAAAAGTAGGGGTAAAAGTGGTTTTTTAATAGAAAAGGAAAGTGTTTTAAGAAAAACAAAAAAATGAAAGAGGAAAGATTTTAATAAACGGAGGGAGTATTAAATAATATTCATAATGTCTAGTGATGACAAACATTTACTTGAATAATGACTAAAAGTGCTACATTGAGAAAAAAACATATGTGATGTTATTTAGGGAAAGTCATTATATTTTAGTGCTATTTAATAAGTAAATTTCTCCTTTTTTTTAATACTACATCCCTCTCTAAAAATATTTCCGGTTTGTTTTTTGCAAGAAAGTCTTTTACCCACTTGAGCACTTACCAAAGGTTGCGGTGTGGAACGTCGATCCGCCGCCAAAGCCATAAACGCTCCGTTGGCCGGTGATTATAGTCACGCCCTTCCCCTCTCCGACCAGAGTGAGGTCCGGGAGAAAAGAGTCGATAACGACATTCTCATTGTAAACTCCGGCCATTATTTTAATAACAAACCTTTGGCGCCAATCCCTCGTTTGGGCCGCAATGGCGATGGCCTCCGTTATGGTCCGGATGTTTCCGGGTCCGCTCCCAACCACAAGGTTCGCCGGTGGCGGCACATACTCTGCCGCCACTTGGGGCGGCGTCAGAATAGTAAATAAGGATACGGTGAGGAACAAGAAAACCCCAAATTTAGCATGCATTTTGTTTTTTACCTTTAATTTGTTTGAAACTGTTTGCTTTCATTTAACTTATATTCACGTCAAAGTGAAATTAATTTAAGATAGATATACCAAGTGTGTATATGGCGGGTCTTTGTTCGGACACCAAAGAAAAAGGCATCCGTGCGGTATATGATGATGTAAACCATGTTACATTAAAAAATGTATCTCAAAATTACACTTACATTAAAAAATGTATCTCAAAATTACATGTTAATGGGAAGGAGGGAGACGGTCGAGAATTACCGTGGCTAGCACGGCTAGGGTTGTTTGACGGTAGGAAGAAACAACTAAGAGAAAATTTAGACTAACTAATTAGGGTTTTTCTCCATTTTTCTTCTTTTAGTTTAGACATGCGACAATATATAGTAGTATGAAACCCTAATCCTAATCCTGTCGGTTCAAGAAAAGCGTCAAGGGAAAGAACCGAAGAGAAAACTCTTGAAGGAGCTTATAATTCTGCTCACCTAAGAAAATCTACGGTACAATAAAATAAATAAATAAATAAATAAATAAATAAATAAATAAATAAATAGAGAATATTATTATTAAGGACACACATAATCCTTGTATCGTTGGGGTGGCCCAACGATCCTTCGCGAACGTCTCACCCTTGGGGACTCGGGTTCTTCGGGTTCTTCGTCTACATTATGGGTTGCATGTTCTAGGCCCGTATCAACTCCCCCGCTGTCGGAATTCGCCTTGTCCTCAAGGCGGAGAGTTGGAAAATGGTCTCGGAGCATATGTACTGGTTCCCACGTGGAGTCATCGTCGGTGTCGTCGGACCGTCGAATTAACCATTGCTCTTGAGGATCGCCGTCGACGAGTATGGTGCGACTGCGCAGGGCTGCCACTGGAACCGAGAGGGGGTGATTCTGGACAAATTCTTCTGGCCATGTTGGGGTGGGTACGCCGGTGGCCGGAGTCACGAACGGCCGTAGGAGAGAGACGTGAAAAACATCATGGATGCGACACCCCTCGGGCAGGCGCAGGCGATAAGCTACCTGTCCCACACGCTCCACAACTTCGAAAGGGCCGTAATAGCGCCGGGCGAGCTTTGCAGACTTAGGTTTGGCAACGGAGTGTTGACGATATGGTTGGAGCTTGAGGAGGACCAAATCACCTACCTGAAAGGATACGTCCCGACGATGCATATTGGCAGAAGCCCGCATACGCTGCTGCACTCTCCGAAGGTTGTCCTTCAATTCCTCCAAAACAACTGCTCTTTCAATAAGAATTTCCTCAATAACGGGCACTTTGGAGCGGACGGAGGGGGTAGCAAACACGTGTGGTGGTTCACGTCCGTAGAGAGCTTGAAAGGGAGAAACTTTGAGGCCCTCATGCCGGCTACAATTGAGAGCTAGTTCAGCCCACGGGAGGAGGGCTGCCCACTTTGTCGGCCGGTCGAAAGTGAATGCTCGTAAGTATTGTTCAAGCCCTCTGTTTGTCACCTCCGTCTGACCGTCGGTTTGTGGGTGATAGGCTGTGCTGAATTTCAACGTTGTGCCGCTCAACTTAAGAAGCTCTTTCCAAAAAAGACTCATAAAGACGGAGTCCCGATCCGAGACTATATCCAAGGGAAATCCATGATGCTTGACAACCATATCTAGGAACAAGGCTGCCACCCGTGGAGCATCAAACCACGTAGGTAGGGGTCCAAAGTGGCTGTATTTTGACAAACGATCCACCACAACAAGGATAACTGTGTAACCGCGCGACGGAGGAAGCCCGGTGATGAAATCCATGGAAGCCGAATCCCACACGCGATCAGGGATGGGTAAGGGTTGCAGAAGACCCGCTGGTTTTTGAGTTGAATATTTTGTTGCCTGGCACGGGACACATGCCGCGATGAAAGCCCGTACGTCCTTGCGCATGCCCGGCCAGTAGAAAACCGATGCAAGCCGGCGGAATGTCCGCTCAATTCCCTGGTGGCCTGCTAATGGGGAGCTATGAAATTCTTCCAGGAGCTGCTGCCTTAGGTTAGATCCCGCACTAAGGTAAATCCGCCGGTTATAATAGAGCACCCCGTCTTGTACTGTCAACTCGGGAATGGCCGTTCCTGCTTCGGCGGCGGCTTTAAGTTCGGCCAACTCTGGACTGGTGCGCTGCTCTGCCTGGATTGCTTCCATAATAATCGGCATGGGTTGTGATAGTGCCACAAAGGAGGCTGCCGTGGTGTCGTCGGAGTCGCGTCTGGACAAGGCATCAGCGGCCTTATTGGTAATGCCCGCTTTATATTCTATCCGGAATTTGAAACCCATGAGTTTGCGGACATAGAATTGTTGGTCCGGTGTTTGGATGACTTGTAATAATAGTTCTTTGAGGCTCCGGTGGTCGGTTCGGATAACGAATTCTCGGCCCAATAAATATTGACGCCATTTTTGTACCGATTCCACAATGGCATATAACTCTTTGTGATATGTCGAGGCGGCTTGGCGGCGTGGACCCAACTTTTTGCTAAAGAAGGCCAAGGGATGGTCGTCTTGTAGTAGCACCGCGCCGATTCCAGAGTCAGATGCGTCAGTTTCTATGTAGAATGTCCGTGAAAAATCTGGAAGCCGAAGGACGGGTGCCGATACCATTGCCGTTTTTAGGCGGTGAAAACTTTCCTCCGCTTGGGGGGTCCAGTGAAAGCTGTCCTTCTTTAATAACTCTGTCAGAGGGGCGGCAATTGAAGCATAACCGGAGATGAAGCGTCGATAATACCCCGTGAGTCCCAAGAATCCCCGTAACTGGGTGACAGTTTTGGGTTGCGGCCATTGGGCCATAGCCGAAAGTTTCCCTGGGTCGGCTTTGAGGAACCCCGCAGTCACCAAATGTCCCAAATAATCGATGGTGGTGCGGCAGAACGAGCACTTGGATAGCTTCACAAAGAAAGAATTATGGCGGAGCACCCCTAGTGCTGTATTGAGATGATCGGCGTGTGTTTCCAAATCCGGGCTATAAATGAGGATATCGTCAAAAAAGACAATAATAAACTTCCGAAGGTAGCTGCGAAACACCTGGTTCATAGTAGCCTGAAAAGTTGAAGGGGCATTGGTAAGGCCAAAGGGCATTACTAAGAACTCGTAATGTCCGTCATGTGTACGGAAAGCAGTCTTGAAGGTGTCGGCGGCGTGCATCCGAATTTGGTGGTATCCGGCGCGCAAGTCCAGTTTAGTAAAGATCCTGGCCGTACCCAATTCGTCAAATAATTCATCGACAGTGGGTATGGGAAAGTGGTCGGGTATCGTAGCCGCGTTCAATGCCCTGTAGTCGACACAAAAATGGAAGGTTCCATCTTTCTTTCGCACCAATAGAACCGGCGAGGAGAACGGGCTCTGGCTAGGACGGATGATGCCCTGGTGAAGCATTTCCTGGACTTGCCGTTCGATCTCCGACTTTTGGAAGTACGGGTAACGATACGGCCGGACGTTGATGGGTTTGGCATTAGGCTCCAAGTGAATTCGATGGTCCCACTCTCGTGCCGGAGGTAAGGTCGTGGGAGTGGCAAAAATAGCAGCATGGGTCTGCAGAATCGTGGTGATAGAGGCCGGCACGTCCGAAGGGAACTCTGGGGCTGCCGAGGCTGGGAGGGTGTCCGGAGGTGCTGGCACTAGCTCGTAGAATTCTAGCGGCTGCTGGGTCGCCACCAAAGAACATAAATGCCCATAGGAGATCGGCTTGGGGGCTGGGGCATCACCCCGGAGTTGTACTGTCGCCCCATTCCAAGTGAATTCCATGGTAAGATTAGCGTAGTCATGAGAAACCTTGCCAAGAGTTTGGAGCCATTGTACGCCTAGCACCACTTCCGGCCCATGGATCTCCAGTAGATAGAGGTCGATTGCAAATATGTGGCCTTGCAATGCGACGGCAGTTTGGGGGCAAGAATATGAGCACCGAAGGGACTCCCCGTTTCCGACGTAGACTCGAAAGGGCGGTACAGGATACAGCACTAGTGAAAGCTTCTCTGCAACGGTGGGGTGAATGAAATTATGGGTGCTACCACCGTCCAACAAAACATGCACCGGGGAATTGTTAATGTTACCGGTAAGGCGGAGGGAACGTGGGCTAGGACTCCCTGCCAAAGAGTGCAAACTTGAGATATCACCCGTAATAACCAAATCCTCCGTGATAGGGTGCTCGTCGGGTTCCGCACCGGCCGCCATGTCCTCATCATCCGGCCCCATAAGAGCGAGAAAACGACGTTTGCAGTGATGAGTGGGATCCCATTTTTCCTCGCAGAACCAACACAGACCTTTCTTCCCTCGTTCGGCCTTTTCAGCGTTGGTTAACCGTACGACGGGTAAGGAATTGACAGCCCGGTTGTCTGGTGGTTTGGGCGGGTTTGTGTGAGCTGGCGTGGAGATACCTGAAGGCTGCCCAGCCTTCAGGTATCTGAAAGCACCAGTTGTTAATGGGAAGGAGGGAGACGGTCGAGAATTACCGTGGCTAGCACGACTAGGGTTGTTTGACGGTAGGAAGAAACAACTAAGAGAAAATTTAGACTAACTAATTAGGGTTTTTCTCCATTTTTCTTCTTTTAGTTTAGACATGCGACAATATATAGTAGTATGAAACCCTAATCCTAATCCTGTCGGTTCAAGAAAAGCGTCAAGGGAAAGAACCGAAAAGAAAACCCTTGAAGGAGCTTATAATTCCGCTCACCTAAGAAAATCTACGGTACAATAAAATAAATAAATAAATAAATAGAGAATATTATTATTAAGGACACACATAATCCTTGTATCGTTGGGGTGGCCCAACGATCCTTCGCGAACGTCTCACCCTTGGGGACTCGGGTTCTTCGTCTACATTATGGGTTGCATGTTCTAGGCCCGTATCATTACATTAAAGATATTCGCTAACATTTCAATGATTCAGATAGACACAATTGATAGTACATTAACAAACATTTTCATTAATATTTTGTTTATATATCAACTATCACCCTAAAACCTAAAATGAAGGTGTAAACCTACTGGGTAGATGGGGTACAAGTTTTTGTCGAAAGTCCAAATGTCGTGACCCACGCTAGCTGTCACCCTTTTTTTCTTCTTCTTTTTTCGGCAGATGAAATCTTGATAACGGCCCAATACCGTCGTTATTTTTAAGTCTACATATGTTGAATTCTTGATAACGGCCCAACACTGTCATGACTTTTTTTTAATGACATTTGTCCAACCACATAATTCTTTGGGTCCTTGGATCATGGTCCCACACCGTTGTTTCTTTGCTGGTGCGGCTTAACATTGACTTCACATGCATTGCATTGCGTATCACCGAGAAAAATTTAAAATCTTTTCAATTTGTTTTATTGATATTGAAATAAAAAATAAAACTTATAAATTTAAAAATTACATCAAAAGATCAACAAAACAAGCGGTGGAAAGAATATTTTATTATATCACATAGGTCATGAAAAAAGACAAATAAATAAAAATTCTCGTGAAGTTGGAATAGTGTGCTGCAAAAAAAGATATGGGACGGAGGAAGTAATAAATTAGATGTATTAAATATTTTTATTTGAATTAGACCAAAAACGGCTTTAAATATAATTACATTCAGATCAAATCAAATTGGAACGTATTTCCATCAATTGAGAATCATTGAGATCAATTGTCCGAAGAGAATATGACCGAAATGAGAAATTGTGGTGCTTAGTTCGAAGCAGTGATGATGAAAGAGATTTAGTCATCCAGACCAAATAGTCTAATCCATTCATTCCTTAGCCATTAAATTAGACAAATTCTTTTGTGATCTCTAGGTATAGTAGATTTGAACATGTTTATTTCATGAATCTTAATATATAAAATCATTATACAAATTATGTTTTGTAAAAAGAAAAAAATTTAATCATAAACTCATTGAAAATATGTGAGAAAGTTTATATTTCTTATACAAATCTTAGACCACAATAGTACAATTCAATAAATTATTGATTCATTTTTACATTTGGGTCCATTTGTTTTCATATGGAGTAATATGACCCAACAAATCTTAACCTTTAATGTATCACTTTCATTTTTTGGTCTCTCTACATGGTTTTTTTTATCTGAGAGGTACCCTAACTAGAGATGACAACAGGTCGAGTTCGAGTCGGATAGTACTATACCCGAATCCGACATGACTTTTAAAATCGAAAACCGAACCCAACTTGAAACCCGACCTTTTAAGCCAAAACCCGACTCGACCCGAACCCTAGCTACATTTCAACCCGAAACCCAAACCCGACTTTTAACCAATAATCAATTTGACGTACCCCAATAATTTTAAAAGGATTAAATCTAATTTTTTTGTGTCTCTTTTTTTGTGTCTCATTTTTTATTAAGGAATTATAAAAATGATTATAAAAGGCATACTTTATATACTCCCTCCGTCCTAAAACTTTCTTCCTAAAACACTATTCCAACTTCACGAGAATTTATATTTATTTGTGTTTTTTCATGGCCTATATGATAAAATAAAATATTCTTGTCTCCACTTGTTTTGTTGAACTTTTGATGTAGTTTTTAAATATGTATGTTTTATTTTTTATTTCTATACCAATATTTAAATAAAATAGATTTAAAAAGTTTGGGATTTTTCTTCGTTTTGCGCAACAGGAAGAAAGTTTTAGGACGGAGGGAGTAGTAGATCGCACTTTGTCAAGAGATTATACCGAGTGCTCATTATATCCATAGATTGGATTTTATGTTATAAAATATCCGGGTTTGAGTCGGGTCGGGTCTGGGTTTGGGTCGGGTCAGGTAAAATTATAAACCCACACCGGACCGGACCCGATGTCGAGTTTGGGTAAAAAATTTCGGGTCGGGTTCAAATTATTTTATTCACGGTTCGGGTTCGGATATTTTAGTGGTCGGTCGGGTCGGTTAAGCTCGGGTTCAGATTGAATTGTCATCCCTAACCCTAATTTGATAGTTGTAAGAAAAAAGACATTTCATTTTCAGTTCTTAATAAAATTATATTTGTAACAAAATCATACCTACTCCCAAAATTTCATAAATTAGGCAATCCACATGGTTCTTCCCATCTTATGTGTAATATATTGAGCATTCCACCTCTAATTAAGTACTTGTCTATCCACCGAAGATTTTCTTGTTATGTGTCATAGACTCATAGAGCTTGACCAATTTTATTTTCAATTTAATTTATATGATTGTAAGGATAAAATTTAAAAATAAAATTTACATAATAAAAATGTATATAATTTTTTTTTCAAAACTATAGATGACAAGACTATATTATTTATGAAATGAGTATTAAAAATAAGTAAATAAACTGATTTAAGTCTAACCCTATAAATGGTGTTAAGAAAGATTTGTGAGAGAGAAAGGGAGTGTTTTTTTTTCAATTTTACACTGCCCAAAAGAAAGACTTACAAATCGTTTACTCATTCAAAGCTATAGATTAACCAAACTTTTATTGATTCCATCCCTTTCCCATCATTTTCCTTTTTATTCAATTCTCTTAATTTTTTAAAAAGGGAATCATGCAAATATCTATTAGTTTAAAAATGCCACTAACCTTTTCAAAAAGTAAAATTTATTGAGTATAAGACTAAGGATTAATAATGTTTTTTCCTTTTCTAAGACTATTTTTAAAAAAAATTCCTTTCCTGTCCCTAAATTCTAGACGACCACTTGTGTGGAAAAAACCAACGCTCCTTTGCAGTTTTTTTATCTATAAATATTTTATTTACATAATTATGGGTTGGAAAATGCTAGGGTGCCACCACATGGGTGCACCCATGGTAGCACACATGTGGTGGCACCCTAGCATGGTCCTTATGGGTTAATTAGCCATTATTTACGCCTATAATTTAGGAAAAAAATATATTACTCCACAACCCCTAATTTATCTCCACTCATCAGATTTTTCCTTACCATTTTATTTCTCCTCGGCATTGCTTTCTTCTTGCTCCTCAACATAGTTTGCTTTCTGCTTTGCCAATTTTTATTACTTTTAAAATAATATAATAATGTCATTTCTTGTTTTTAAAACATTTTTGCCTATGTTTTGTAGAACCTTTGATATAATTTTTATGTATATATTTTTATTTTTAAATTTTACACCAATTTTTTTTTGAAAAAGTGAACTGAAAACAACTTTAGTTAAACAACGTAACACGTAACTGAAAACAAATTTTTTTTATCAAATAAATAATAAAATTTGGCGTAAAAGTTCTTATTTCCATCTTTAAAAAAAATTTGATTCATATTTTTTCTTTTTCTTTTTTTTACTTCATTATTTTTTACTACGCAATTCACTCTTTTTTAAACTTCAGGTTGGGTCAAACTAGGACTTTTCTTTTTTAGAAGGGAGAGTAGTAAACATGATTTTTTAGTACATACTCCCTCCGTCCCTAAACAGATTATAATTTTTTCTCTATCTCCTCTCGATAACTTTTGTTTGTTTACGCGATTTCATTAAGCATTTGATAAAATAAAATATTCTTGTCACCTCTTGTTTTGTTAAACTTTTGACGTAGTTTTTTAATATGTAATTTTTACTCCCTCCGTCCCAAAAAGATTTATACCTTTCAAAAAAATTGTGTCCCACAATCTCCTACCCATTTCTATTAAAAAACCACTTTTACCCCTTACTTTTTCAAACCCTACCTATCACATCATACCTTTTTCCTAATAATCTACACATCACATCCTACTTTTACCCATCACATCAAGGATATTTTTGGAAAGTCAACACAAAATTATCCCTCCCTTAATTTCTACTTTAGTCAAAATGGGTAACACTTTATGGGACGGAGGGAGTATATCTTATTAATATACCAATTTGTAAATAAAATTATTTCAAAATGTAGAAAATTTTAATTTGTAACCCGTTATTTGTAATCTATTTAGGGACGGAGGGAGTAGTTAATTCTTGTTACATACCTTGATTCACGTGGTAATATACTATAATTCCATCCTTGATTATACAATCGTCTGAAGTCAATTAATCTATTTGTCTTTCAGGTTTCCATATTGTCCTTACCCATAAACTAATTTCATGGTCTCTTTAGTTTGAAGTCATTAGCCCATAATATAATGTCCTTGTGGTTGTAAATTTACACTACATAGGTCATTATGTAGGACATTTTGAAGCTATTTTACACTACATAGGTCATTTTCCTAGTAAATAGTTTCATCATCTCATCACGATAAGCCATATTAATCAAATATCTTGTTACATTACAGATCACTACTTCACAATTCATTTTTGCCACTCTCCTTCTACTTACTTTTTTTATTTTTTTTACAGAAATAAACAGTTTATTACAATTTAGAAAGAAACTTACAAGAACATAGGACTTAACCAAAATCCCTAGAGGAAGTTTAAAACAAAACCAAAAGCTAGAATAATCCTTAATTTAAACCAAGACTTTAAGGACCAAATGCCAAAGTAGGAAATCAACACGAGAAAGCCCAATAAAATATTACGAACCAATAACCATAATA